ATATTTTCAGGTATAAAAGTTACAAAAACAAAAAAATGTAGCATCTATTTCCTAAATGAGCTGACTGTTTTGACTTATAAAATGGGTACAATAGCACAAAGTGTGCCAGTGTAACAAGATAAAGAAATAAAAGAATGTGATTATYATTTTACCATGATGGATCTCAGTCTCCTCCTGTCCCAGTTCACAGGAACCAGCTGATGACTGTGGCACATTACCACTGCAACCCAAACCAGTCCAGTTCCACCATCCAAGACCAGATCCTCAGCTCCAAGGGGCTCCTGCACATCTGGGTGGAGAGTCCCTGTGCTTGTCCAAACGCCTGCTCCATGGGAGATCTGGGTCTGGGCACCATCTTCCTCATCATCCTCTCCCTCAGTGCAGCTGCATACTTCATCTTTGGTAGTGTTTTCTCATCAGCCGCTATCAAAATAAGAAGACCAGCATGTTTTTACCCATATCTGAGTTTTTGTTTGCTTGTTAGCATTAGCAGCATCCTGTGATCCAGCTGACAGGTTTTAATCAAACTCTCAGAAAGTAATCATCAGATTAACACCTACGTTATTAGAATATTCAGAATTTACTGAACTGGATTAAAATGTGTAGGTGATACACTTCAGCATGATTATTAAGTCCAAGAAACATGTAAACCTAAGATGAGAAGTGATTTATACAAATTAAAAAACTTCAGATTCCAAGATAATCAATTCAAATTGTGTGTAAATTACTAAGGTCTGAAAAAACAAAAACTAAAAAACCTAAAAAAAACTAAAACTAAAAACCTGTCACCCCCAGATCAAAGGAAATTGGTCAGGGTGTTCAGGAAGAATGCAGGAACGGACTGCCGTGAACTGTAAACTGCTGGTTTAAGGTTCAGATGAAACAAAGATTGAGTTATTTGACCACAGAGACAGAACGTTTGTAGGTGAAGCTTTTAAATCTGAGAGCATTGAAACAAGCACGGTGGTGGAAGCATCACGCTGTTGTACCGAGGAAGACTACCTCAGAAATTGAATGTTACCAATTCTGCCAAGTCCTAACTGAAATACATTTAACAGAATTCTGTACTGGTGGGGCTGGATCTACAAATTTGTGGTTTAGAAAAAAATCAATCATTTTAAACCACAGGAGCCCGATTATTTTTAATATTCAGTAAAGTTATTTAAAGCCCATAATTATAAAGGCAACAATGCGTATGGCATCATGGTGAGTGGATGTAAACTTCTGCATCTCTATCAGAATCAGTAATTGTTTATTATCAGTTTACAAAACAAGGCTAATTGATTTAAATAAATCTTGAAGCTAAGAAGAAAAAAAACTGTGTTGTAACAAAGTTTCAGTCGTTCTCTCTCCATGTTWTACTGTTCAGGGTCTCGTAGAGAACCTGACTCGGACCTTCAGTCCAGGTCTCTGTTGGTCTGACTCCTAGCTTCTCTTTTCTGCCGACAGGTTCCTGTGCTCTCAGAGCTTTCCGGACCAGCAGCGGAGTGCAGATCTCTCCGGAGCAGAGTGTGTGGTGTATGATGTGCTACTTCTTTAGTGACAGACGACCAGCATGAAGACACCACGCAGAGCTGACACAGAGTGAGCCATGAGCTCTGGAACATATTAGCATTTCTCAACCAGTTATAGCTCATTTCTCAGTCTGCCTGGTGGTACTAGGTTATTTCTTTCTACAAACTGTCCTTACATGTTTTAAAAGCCATGTCCTCCTGAATGACAGAGAATCTACTTCATACAATCCTAATTCTGAAATGGTGAGGACGTTGTTTGTAAAATATAGATAAAAACAGAATGCAGCTATTTGCAAATCTCATAAACCTATACTTTTCACAATCAGACATAATACACATTTGATATTTCATTAAAAATATTTTTTAAATAATGCAGTTTTGAAATTTAAGCAACATCTTATAAAAATCAGTGTAAGGGCAACAAAATGCTGTGAATGGTATGAAAAAGACACAACTGAATGAGGATTTTGCCACTAATTAGGTAAACTGGCAACAAATAGATCAGCAGGAGGGCTGAGTCTAAAAAGTGCAGCGGCTGTACTCTGAGTCTCTCCCAGATAACTGAACTCCTCACCCTGTCTCTGAGGAAAAGTCCAGCTACCCTGCAGAGAAAACTCATTTTGACTCATTCTGTATCTGCAATCTTGTTCTTTTGGTCATTACCCACATTTTGTGACCATAGGTGAGGGTAACGTAGATTGATTGGCAAACAGAGAGCTTTGGCCCACAGCTCAGCTCCTCTTCACCACAACAGACAGGTACAGAGTCCACAAAGCTTCACRGATCCATCCATCAGTCTCACGCTCCATTCCTCCCTCACTCATGAACAAGACCTCAAGATACTTGAACTCCTCCACTTGAGGCAGAACTTCACCCCCAAACCAGAGAGAGCAATCCACCCTTTTCAGACTGAGGACCATGGACTCAGATTTGGAGGGGCTGATCCTCATCCCAGCCACTTTACACTCGGCTGCAAACCGCTCTAGTGAGAGCTGAAGATCCTGCCGCAATGTCGCCAACAGAACCACATCATCTGCAAACAGCAGAGATGAAATCCTGAGGCCACCGAACCAGACTCCCTCTACTCCCTGGCTGCACCGAGAAATTCTGTCCATGTAAGTTATGAACAGAATCTGTGATAAGGGGTCCGACTTATTACCAGCAATGCAAACCAAACTCTCGCACCGCTTGTATAGAGACTGAATGGCCCGTATCAACAGACTCACAATCCCATACTCACACAGCACCCCCCACAGTGTACCTCGAGGAACACGGTCGAATGCCTTCTCCAAGTTCACAAATCATATGTAGACTGGATTAGCAAACTCCYATGACCCCTCGAGGACCCTAGTGAGGGTAAAGAGCTGAACCAGTGTTCCACGGCCAGGACGGAACCCGCATTGTCCCTCCAAAGTCTGAAATTTGACTATCAATCAGACTCTTCTCCAGTACCCCTGAAAAGACCTTACCGGGAAGGCTAAGGAGAGTGATGTCGCTGTAATTGGAGCACACCATCCAGTCCCCCAGTGTGAAGAGGGGAACCACCACCCCAATCTGCCAATCCAGTGGCACTGCCCCTGATGTCCACGCGATGTTGCAAAGATGTGCCAACCAGGACAGCCCCACAACATTCAGAGCCTTAAGAAAATCAGGGCAGATCTCATCCATCCCCGGAGCTCTGCCACCGTGGAGCTTTTTAACTATGTCAGCGTTCTCAGCCCCAGTTATGGACAGAGGAACCCTGAAGTCCTCAGACTCTGCTTTCTTCATGAAAAATGTGCCTGTGGGATTGAGAAGGTCTGACAAGTATTCCTTCCCCCTCCTGACAACATGACTGGTTGAGGTCAACAGAGTATGTCCTCCAAACTAAATGGAGAAAGATCACTGTTRTCAGCACACAGTTCAAAAGTCTGACTTTCTGATGGTATGGACATGCATTCGAGCCTCTGGTAAGGGCCAAAACAAAAAATTCTGCAAAGACGACACAGAACTGCTGAACAACTAGAATTCTTACATCAGACAAGAATGGGACACTGACATGTYGAAAGCAAAGAAAAGATTTCACGGTGATAAACGTGGCCTTGTCCCAATCTGTTTTTACGTTAGCTGCCATCAAATTCAAAATGACCTTTTTTTCCCAAAAAAATTGTACAACTTTTTACTTTAATCATTTTATATGTTTACTATGTTCTCTTAAATAAATAAATAATAAGTTAGTGAGACGTGCAAATTATTGTAAAACCCATAACAACCAATGTWGGAGTTGCACCCACATTGGAAAAACTAGCAGGAACAAAAACCTTATTAGGTCATCTGTCGCCTTCTCTTCTAAAAGGATGCTCCCCCCAAAAATAAACAAAACAAAACAATAAATAGATTGTTGTGTTGTTTTATTTGCATTTTATAGAAAATCCTAGCTCTTTCAGAATTGGATTTAAACATAAAACTGTAAATTAAACACACATCTTTGAGAGCTACTGCTGAAAGAAATGAAAGAACCAATAACTAAAATCAAACACCGGGACGTCACATGTTTAATAACGTGTGAAATGGAGAAAGCCAGTTTTAATAAGTATTAATGAGTTTAGATTCAGGTAGTTTCTTACAAACAATCAAACTGTTGTGATTAAGGGTTAGATGTTCCATCAACTTTGTTCTTTCTGTGYGCTACAGCCTGTGGCTTTTTGGAAATGAACCAAAATAATACAAAAATATGTGGAACAAAGACAGACAGGAAAACATTTGCATAAAGAAGGCAAAAAAACATGTAAGAGTAGAAAGACTGATTTCTGCTCTCGGCAAGTCTTGTTCTTTCACTCCCATGCTCTCTGGATTTCACATTCTTTAGGAGTAATTAGTGCTCCAGTAATGCTGAATGTTATCTTTATCTTTGCTCACTGTGTGGTCCCATCTTGTCTCTGCAGCTGTCCTTTTACCACTTTTATTTTGAAACAAATACACCTGTTTCTCTAAAAGTCATTTGTGTTACACTGGTGCAGCAGCAGGATCTCATCAGGCTGACTTTTCTCAAGCAGCCCTGTGCTCTTTAAACGCCTGTTGTGCTGTGGCTGCTGGGACCCTCTCATCAGAGCTTCATTGGTTATAATTTGGGCCAATTGTACAACATAATATTATGAAGGCTGTGTTTCAAATCTGTGTGTGTGTGTGTTTTGTGTGTGTGTGTGTGTGTGTGTGTGTGTGAGAGAGACAGTGGGGCTGCTGCAGGCCTTATCAGCAGAGACGTCTTTTTCTTTCTGTTGCACCCATGTGGAGGTCTCAACCTTTTATCTGATCTGAGGTCTGTTGTCGTGAGCCTGTGGTGTGAGCTTGACCTCACATTCTTCAGCTCTTGTCTCATCTGCTGAAGTCCTGCAGAGGTTATAGAAACATACAGGCAGCAACACGGAGTCAGCTCATTCAATGTGACTCGATCCACAATCATCACAACTTTTTTACACTCTAAGCCATTCAAGACAGTAATAAATACAAGTAAGAGTTTTACAGTGTGTTACAGTACACTAACCTTATTCACAGTATTATTTTCCTTTTGTGTAAAAAACAGAAATACTTCTATTTCTGTAACATGTAACTAACATGTAAGTACACATATTTTGTCTTGATTCCATCCATCCATCCATTATCTGTACATGCTTATTCCTTTCAGGGTCACTGGTGCCCATATCCAGCAGTCACAGTGCGAGGGGCGGGGTACACCCTGGACAGGTCGCAAGTCCATCACAGGGACACACATAGAGACAAACGAGACAAACAACCATTCACTCTCTCACTCACACCTAGGGACAATTTAGAGTTATCTATTAACCTAACAGTCATGTTTTTGGTATGTGGGAGGAAGCCGGAGTACCCGGAGAAAACCCACGCATGCATGGAGAGAACATGCAAACTCTACCCAGAAAGGTCCCCAGACCGAGATTTGAACTGCCGACCTTCTTGCTGAGAGAATTCATACTTACAGTGGAATTAAAAAAATATATTAGTATCTTTAAAAGATCTAATAAAAGTTGGATTCCCTGAAATAACGTACAGCAGCCAAAGTTTTAATGAAATATTGTGTGGGACAAGATGTAATATTTTGGTTCCTGCTGATGTGGTTTAAGATTGTCTTTTTATCACCATCTATTCATAGTCATAAAGAAACTGTGGGGAGAAGTTTTCCCTCTGTCCTTCCTCTGTGGCACACATCACGTCAACACAGACAGGCTGACAGAGAGAAGGTTTATTTTCAGTTGATAATGAAGGAGTTGGAGGAAGAAGATCTGGTATTTATGTTGCTAACCAAAGAGAAGTGTTGTTTTGTAAACTTGTCACAAAGAGACTGCCACAGTTTTACAATCAGAATCTGCTCTGCCCAGTGTGTGTGTGTGTGTGTGTGTGTGTGTGTGTGTG